GCCGCCTTCCCTTAGGGATGCCCTCTCTTGCCGGGACCGCCGCCTTCCCTTGAGGAAGCCCTCTCTCGCCGGGATTGCCGCCTTCCCTTAGTGATGCCCTCTCTTGCCGGGACTGCCGCCTTCCCTTGAGGAAGCCCTTTCTTGCCGGGATCGCCACCTTACCTTAGGGATGCCCTCTCTTGCCGGGACCACCGCCTTCCCTTGAAGAAGTCCTCTCTTGCCGGGACTGTCGCCTTCCCTTGGGGATGCCCTCTCTTGCCGGGATCGCCGCCTTCCCTTGGGGATGCCCTCTCTTGCCGGGATCGCCGCCTTCCCTTGGGGATGCCCTCTCTTGCCGGGATCGCCACCCTTCCTTCCCTTGGGGATGCCCTCTCTTGCTGGGATCAATGGGTCAACGTGGCTGTGTTTGTGTGTTTTGGGGGGGGGGGGGGGTGACAGGTGGAGAGTAACTAGGAGTGAATTTTGGTACCAGCCCTCCAGTACCATCCGGGTTCTCTGGGCCTTCAGGAAGTCGGTACCAGCGGCACGAGGGAGGGGACAAGCTTTGGAACGGTGGCAGGTATTTAAGGTGGGGACCCCCTCCCCCCCCACCGGTGGGTGTTTTATTTGTGCCTGTGCTCTGTCACTGACACTCCGGAATCCCCTCCGCCAGAGCAGGTTTGGGCCAAATGCCCGATGCCCTCTGACAGCAGCTTATTAAAGGCACATTCATCAGCCTGCCTGCCCGGCAGATTTAGTATCTAGTGCTCGCTTACAGGACGCACGGAAAATCCACCCCTTAATCGGCCGCGGTCTCTGCACTCACCTCCACACTGGCCCACAGAACATGGGCCATGCATAATGAACTGCAAAGAGGAATCCCAATTAACAGGTGTTTCATTCATCTTTATTCATCAAGTGTTTGTATTATGTCTTCCCATGATGCACCTGGCTATGGCAGAAAGTACACCTGGTTACGCTTCTAATGTTGGATGTCTGGGACGTCTGGTTGTGGATGTCCCTACAGACCAGAAGGTTCCGGGCTTAGAGTTCCCAATCAGGGCCTCAGAGGGGGACTCCCGCCTGTCTTTCTGGAATGTTCTGGACACCCTGATATGGACGGTGAATTCGAACCACGCCGGATCCCTTCAGAGTCCATTGTTTGTTAGTAATAATACGTAAACAATAATGTACTGTGTACGTGATTCCAGTGAGGGGCACTGCCCAGCTGGATTGGAGCAGGGCTTAGAGGAAGTGGGGGGGCAGGGGCACACAACCCAGTAGGGAGAGCATGACTACCTCTCACCCCATCGCACCTGACTCCATCGCACATCAGGGCCCTTTGACAGGTGGGCCACAGCAGAACGGGCCACCCTGCTGTCATGTGGCTGCCGTGCCTGGGGGGCTCTAATCATCCGAGGCGGTTAACTGAAAATATGCCCCCCAGGATGGAGATCCCCGTTACATCAACAAGCAGGACAAACCCATGTCCCTCACCCCCCCGACACTGGGCGTTTCTCCCCAGGGCAGGACAGTGTTCTGGTCCGTATTAAACAAGGAGTCCAGATGACGGGCAGTGAAAACTCGGTATAAAAAGTAGCTCTTAATGGTCGACAGTAAACAAAACGGAAGACAGGGAGTCCCAGAGGTGCCAGGACACCAGAATGAGGGCCTAGTATGACCCCCTCACTGGGGAGGGACAAAGACGGCCCCAGGACGTTTCCTGGACTCCCCCTGTCACAGAGTTAATTTCTTGTTAGGCAGGCTGGGGGGTGCGGCAGGTCCCATCTTGACGAGCTCCGTTAACGAGCTCCCCCCTTTCTTTAATTAATTTTGCTGGATAGGAACAGGCCTGGCTGCAGCAGTTATCTTCCGCCTGGGCGGGACACACGACGTGCCTATTTTCACAAGCAGGCCATTCTACGTCCATCCCGCCAGCTGATTGGTTGCGGGGAGTGGTGGGGGTTTTCAAAGTGCCTTTATCCCCCCCCCCCACTTTCGCCTGAGGCAATGGGGAGGGGGGGAGTTACTGTTGATCAATAGCTTAATTATTGTCAAAAGAGTTTGAACGTGCAACTGCGTTTGAGGAACATTTTGAGTGGTGGGGGGGGTGTTGAAAATCCCGCATAAGTCGCGCTCTGGAACTCATCGCCGTGGCGTTTGCTTGGCTTCAGCAGCCGGTACTGTTCGCCGTCTGACTTGTTTTGACGGATCTCTTTCGTTACTCTAAACACCTCTCGCCTGTTCGAATGGGAGGTGCTCAGGGTCACCGTCACAGGTGTGTCACTCCACGGGCTCTGGATTTCTGCAGCTGTGTTCGGGCGGGTTTGGGGCGGGGGAGAAGTCAGCCGCTTCCCTGGCTGATTGAAGCAGCTGTGCGAGTCAGGGCTGACTCACGTTATCTATGTGTTTGGCATCTCTGTCAGCCCGAGGAGACCGTCCAGAGAGAGAGAGAGAGAGAGAGAGAGAGAGGGATACCGAGAGTGAGAGAGGGTGAGAAGAAAGAAGGATAGAGAGAAGGATGGAGAAGGAGAGTCAGAGAGGGAGAGAGAGGCAGCTTGAATAGAAAAAGCACTGGGGGTTGTGGTGTGTGTGTGGGGGGGTCGCGCTACGTGAGGCGAGCACCTGCCCTTGGGTGTCGGTGTGCACAGCGGAAATGCAGACATGCGGGTCGTCCCTTTGAAGCTGCAGCTCTGCTGATGCCTCTCCAGACAAAACAGCCGGGGACAGCGCATGGGACGGCCAGCCTGGTCTGCGGAGATGCAGGCACAGCATGTTAAAGTCAGCATGTGGACCCCCCTCCCAGCGCAGGCATGCACTGCATATAGGGCGTTTGTTCCAACCAATTTAATTAAGCATGATTGAGCCCAATTACAAAAATGTACCATCTCGATGGGAGCCGATTATGGGCCTGGAGCAGTCGCCTGTAATCACTGCTCACTCGGGTTAATAGGAAAAGTTACCATTTTGCTGAATTGTGCCCTTCAAATGAGCCTATAAATGAGTATTGAACATAAATGCTCTTAATCTACCATTTGGTTAGATTACAGCAGTAATTAATAAGATATTTAAAAATCTAACACTTTAATTAGCAGACTCGCTAAAACACTTAGATTAGACTCATTTTGAGGGTCGTACATAAAATACATAAAGTCCCCTCCCTGTTCACCTCACATTCAAAGTTCTCTCAAAGAGGAGATTTGAGATTTGAGACGTCTACACCAAGTGAAGCAGGTCGGGCAGATTCTCACTAATTAAGAGTTCCGGCAGCCCTGGGGGGTCCCTGACAGCATGCTTAATTAACAGTTAATGACTCCTGATTAGCTTTTGGAGTACATCTTTAATGAGTGGCTGTTGATATCTGAATCGTGGCTGCTCGATGACTCTGATTGGCTGATTCAGAGCCAAAGCAGTGAAGTGTGGCCTCTCTGATTGGCGGGTCATTATGTTCCGGTTCGGCGGGCAAACAGACAGACATCGTGGGAGCCACACTGCCTCTTGACACCATGAGTACTTCTGAACGTATGGTGGCACAAGGGGGGGCTAAGGGGGGGGGCTGTCGGCCTGGGAGGGGCAGAAGCTCCTGACGAGCGCGCCCCTCTCTGTGGCCGCGGCCTGCCATTCAGCCACCCCACTGGAGGACAATGCTCATGTGACCCCCCTGAAAGGGGTCTGGGTGTCAGAATCGGCTGTTTGCTGACTGAATCTTCTGAAGGGGAACCTCATAAATCATAAGAGCAGAATAGGTATTGTCCCTATGAGAGCTACACCCCTACCCCCCCTAAAAAAACCCCCACCCACATTAAACTCTTACCCCCCACCCATTTGTAGTGCTCTTCAGAAAGAAAGATGTGGTAAGGTTAATGGTGCAGGTTTCATGGGGGTATGGTCATTGTGGGTCTGTGTCAGCCGCCCCCCGCTTCAGCCAGAGCGAGGGTGAGTTCTCTCCGAGCCCCCCCACCCCGTGGTGGGAGGCTGCTTGGCTGAGCTTCTGTCTTGCGGACGCAGTTGTATGCAAAGCAGGACGTGTCACACAAACGGGCGGGGCTCATTACCACGGCGACGGCGGGTGCCATGCTGGCCGCTGCTCTCTCTGGAGCGATAAGCACACCTTCCTGCACGTTTCCCACATGTGGGTCCCGTTGGACGGCTTTACCTCCGAGGCTGTCGTCTGTGAGGAGGTGGACTGGATTAGGCTGTCGCTGTGTTAACCCTACTGCTCTGTGAATGTGTGTGTTCGCGTGTTTGTGAGAGGGAGCCCGGGGTCGTCACTGGTATCCCGGGGTCGTCACTGGTATCCCGGGCTCACAATGTGACCCCCCCTGACCTCCAGCAGCAATAAAAAAGCATGTAACCGTATATACCTGTGCCAGGCAGCGGCCATCTAATCCACACCATGCGGTACCCTGTGTAACATATCGTTTAACTGCCCTGATGCTGTCAGCGACTGAGGGATTTTCGGAATCTCGGTGCCCGGGATGGCTGCTGGCATTCCTGTTCAGGGACACAGCCAGCTGAGTCAGCTGTACTCTTTTTAGAAGCAAATTAGCCTTTCATTTAGCCTAAGTGGCTAATGGATAAAGTAGGCCGGGGTGGATTTAGGCTAAGCCAGGCACTTTCCTGAATGTGTGGCTGGGAAGTGTGGCTAGCGGAGAGGGGAGGGGCAGGCAGGAGGCAGGGCTGTAATCTATGTGTTCCAGATGTCAACATGACTGATGCCCCAGTTAACAGTTATTTAAGTTATTTAACGGTGCTAAAACCATTAGCATGTCCATCTGAGTCAGAATGACTGCTGAGCATTCCTCCTCCTCTGACTACCATTGAAGGAGATCTGCATGGTGCTTGGCCTTGCCTTTTCTCGCCCCTTAATAATTCCATACTCAGTATCATGTATGATAACCCCATGCAGCCTGAGCTCAGACATGCTGACTGTGGGGTGGGGGGGTCCCCATCTGGTTAATTGCATTATAAGACCACCCTGCCCCGCCCCATTCCGACCTTCTTTTGTCCCCTCCCCCCAGAGAGCTGATGCCCAGGACCCTGGAGGGCCAGATCACCATGGAGAAGACGCCCAGCTACTTCGTGACGCGGGAGGCTCCGGCCCGCATCTACGCCATGTCCCGGGACACCAAGCTGATCGTGGTGGTGCGGGACCCCGTCACCCGAGCCGTGTCCGACTACACGCAGACGCTGTCCAAGAAGCCCGACATCCCCACCTTTGAGAGCCTGACCTTCCGGAACCGCAGCGTGGGCCTCATCGACACCTCGTGGAGCGCCGTGCAGATCGGCATCTATGCCAAGCACCTGGACAACTGGCTGCGCTTCTTCCCGTTGCGGCAGATGCTGTTCGTGAGCGGCGAGCGGCTGATCAGCGACCCCGCCGGCGAGCTGGCCCGCGTGCAGGACTTCCTGGGCCTCAAGCGCATCGTCACCGATAAGCACTTCTACTTCAACCAGACCAAGGGCTTCCCCTGCCTGAAGAAGGCCGAGGGCAGCAGCAAGCCGCACTGCCTGGGCAAGACCAAGGGCCGGACCCACCCTGGCATCCAGCCACAAGTGCTGCAGAGGCTCCGCCAGTTTTACCGCCCCTTCAACATGAAGTTCTACCAGATGACTGGCCACAACTTTGGCTGGAACTGACAAAGCAAAAACGTTAATACAGGACACCTTGCTTGAATCATTTTTTTCTCTGTAATTCTGGCAAAGACGTGGAGATATTGCTATATATATGTAAAATGTACAGAAATCTATTTTATAATAATTTATTTTTAATTTCTAAGCAATTAATTCACTAAGCTGCCTAACCTGAATTTGTCCCTTGCATTTGATCCACGTTTTGTATCTTTTTAACATTCCACATCTCCTCTTTTTCTGCTTTTTTGTCGTTCTCTTCCGCTCTTTCCGTTTCTCTCTTTTGCCGTCCAGTCATTTAAACTCGTTAATGGTGCTTTCAGTGGCGGCTGAAGGCGTTAGTGGCGGAGCCGTTGGGAATTCGGAAACGGGACGGACACACAAAGCAGCTCTGTGTTATGGCCACCCGCCGCTCGCCGGCGACTTTCAATCCACCACGTCTGTGGGTTTCATTTCCATTCTGTTTTCTTTTCACCATCATCTTGAGTCTGGCAGGTGCTCTTTTGCTGTTGTTGGTCTATGTTTAGCACAGCCAGGCTGAAGGTCCTGGGCTCTAAGCGGATGGCTCTCTGTGGTTACAGGTAGCCTAGCATTCAGGAACAGTTACCTCAGCTAATGCATTACTGCTGACCCCCTAGACCCTCTCACTTAATAAAGCACCGATCGATGGGCTAATTGCTCCCTTTCGTGCTGTCCCCAGTTCAAAGAATAGCCCTGCTCTCCTCCAACGGTCATATGGTAGAGCCTTCTGGTGAATGCACTATTGATTAGCGGCTAAATCGTATTTGGGGTCTCACAGGGTGACGTCACTTTGCTCATGTGATGGTGGCTCGACCGATCAATCCTGACCCCGTGACCTGGTCTCGCCCTTAGATCCCGGCCCACTTTTCCGGCTCCTGCCACGGGAGCCGGCGGGTCAGAGGAAAAACCAGCCAGATTCCCAAGAGAGCATTTTGAGGTTGCTTATGTTTTCATTCAGCTACCCGATCAAGACCCCCCCCCCCCCCACCACCTCACAGGCTCTGTTGGATATCGGAGGAGTGGTATATCCAAGAGCGAGGGGGCAGACCTGGCATTCGGCAAACTGTTAACTGTAAGGGTCACAGCAAGGCTCATGTATTTGGAATGGGTGACCTGTCGGCCATTTTGGGGCCATTCCTTCTGTGAAAATTGAGGATTCACATCGTACCTCTTGCTGACTTTGGCGACTCCTCCCGTGGGACTCCGATCATCTCCGATCTGCCTTTCCTCCGCTCTTTTTCACTTTCGGCGTCTTTCGTCTTTGTTACTTGAATACTATGTATGCATGTGAGAGGGGGAAGTGTGTGAATCTCGGGGATCACCAAGGGCCGCCTTGCGCACGTGACGCTGTCCGTGATGGTGGCGTGTTGCCCACGTGACGCTGTCCGTGATGGTGGCGTGTTGCCCACGTGACGCTGTCCGTGATGGTGGCGTGTTGCCCACGTGACGCTGTCCGTGATGGCGGCGTGTTGCCCACGGACCTCTGAACACACTTGGACATCTCCTCTCTCCTGTGGGAGCAGATTAGGGTACTTTTTAAAGACACTTTTCTGCCTCTTTTCAGTCCAAGACTGAATAGCCAGATATCTGTAATCGAGTACAAAAGATAGACTTAAGAGTAGCAATGAAGGGTTTAAATGAGAAAGGCTGGCCTGCTTCAGTCCTGATGTTAACTGATGTTTTTTCTGACACTCAAAAGTGATTCGCCAATTTAGGGCCCTCAGGCACCTGTGAGGTTCAGGCTCGTAAACCGCTGTACTGTCTTGGCTGTCGCTGAACAGGAATCCGATCCTGACTTTATTTTTAATTACTAAACAAAAAAACACATAAGCCCCACCCCCCCACCCCCCAAATCGTTGTGATTACACAGTCCATATCACCATTAATTTATGGTTGAGTTTTATTCAACCCATTAAAAAAAAACAAAATTTAGTGGTGTTTCTTACCCATATAATATGGCATTTAGATTAGCCCATTTGTATGTAAAAAAGAAAAAAGACACGTAAATCAAGTATTTTGTGGTATGTACATCAAAATTAATTTTACACAATGAACTGCAAAAAGGAACAGAAATTTCTAGATAAATACTGAACATTCATGTTATTTCTTTGTATGAAGAAATCAATAAAATATATATTTTACCAGACCTGCATCCGCATGCTTTCCTGGGGACCTTGCATTAAAGTCAGCACACTGACTTTTCACTGAACACGACTGTCCTTCTTCCAGCTACAATACTGGGAATGTGAAACTGGGAATGGGAATCAGCACCACTGCAGCCCTGCATCCTGGATCCTGGTCAGACTTTGTCCTCCCTTTTATTTGGTGTTTTTCCTCATTCAACACCCCCCCCAGGTGTGGTTTGTAACTGAAAGCCCCTGATTTGTGGCAGGGAGGTCCTGTTTACTGGATTCTGGGCGGGCTATGTTTTGGCGTGTTGCAATGGGACTCTGTTGTGCGACGACTATGGCGGGAGGCTGCAGAGGGCATTCGGATGCACCGCTGAAATCCAGCGGTGTTTGGGGTGCTGGGTCGGCGCCGCTGTGGTGGTCCTGCAGTTGGCGGGCAAAGGAGGAATGCTGGGGCACCCGACCACCACTGGAACTGAATGAAACCATAGATCCCTGGGCAGGTGGAACTTGAGGATGCGGTGTTCAGCCACTGAACACAGCACCCTGCTCAGAACCACCCCTGAGTCGTGGCCTGCAAGCCAGGGATCCAGAGCACCTCTGACTGGCTGGGAGTCCACACAGCCACTGAATTCCTCCTCTTCTTAGGCGAGGGGGGGATCCTGGGTTTCTGCTATAAAGGGTTCTGCTGATTCTGGGTGACCTCACATTACAGCCGACCACCATCCTCCCATTCCATGGGGTGGGGGCTCTTTATCAGACAGGCTGCATTGTTTTCGTAGCCCAAAATGTTAGGACAGACACAGAGGTGATGACCGCCCCCCCCCCCCCCACCCCAATGTGAAGCTATGCAGACACTTTCTCTACTTTCTCCTCCACCTTCTCTCACTTTCAGAACATAAGCACAAGGTCACTGGCAGATGATGTGCAGACAGTGGTCCTCGGGGTCAGTGGTGCAGTCAGACATTGCGGGCGCTCTTCCCGAATGTAGAGGGAGGTCATATGATCAGCTGGGGTACAGCTGTCTCCCACACTGTGAATGTCTCCCTCAGTGTGTGTATCTCCCAGAGTATGTGTCACTGCATGTGAGTGTCTCCCTCAGTGTGTGTATCTCCCAGAGTATGTGTCACTGCATGTTTGTCTCCCTCAGTGTGTGTATCTCCCAGACTATGTGTCACTGCATGTGAGTCTCCTTCAGTGTGTGTATCTCCCAGAGTATGTGTCACTGCATGTGAGTCTCCCTCAGTGTGTGTATCTCCCAGACTATGTGTCACTGCATGTGTGTGTCTCCCGCAATGCGAGTGTCTCCTTAAGTGTGAGTGTCTCCCTCAGTATGAGGGCTCCCTGTGTGTCTCCCTGAGTGGGAGAGTCTCCCTAAGGGCTGCTGTCTCCCTGACTATGAGTGTCTCCCTGTGTGCCAGTGTCTCCCTGAGTATGACTGGCTCTTTGAGTGTGTCTCCCTGAGTGCGAGTGGCTCACGAGCGTGTGTGTGTGTGTAAGGGAACGTTTCTGGGACTGTGGCTCACGAGCGCGTGTGTGTTTCTACGTGTTAGGGATCGTTTGTCAGACTGGATGCCTGGTCACATGACAGGCATCCACTTCTGTGGCCGGGAATCTGACGGCGAGCTTCAGGACCAAGTCTGTGCATGAAGACCTCTCCATGCTTTTTTAGGAAATAACGTTGGTAAACCGTAAAGCAGACAGCCTCGGGGACTAAACAGCGGCTGTCGAGCTTCTCCCATTGTCTGGAGCTTGCTTGTGGCCCTGGATGAGCTCAACAGCAGGCTGCGATGAGATGGACAAGGTCAATGAACCAATCGCAGGGCTCATTAGTGGAAATATACTTAGCGGTGCTGAGGCAAGCCTGTTTCCTCTTCACTTTATCACTGACGGTCATGATGCAAGATCCCATCTCGGGCTGGCTGCTCCGGCTGCTTTCCCATTTGATCCCCAAAGGTCATTCCCAGCACAGGGAAGCACCTGCATCTGACCTGGATTTAGACGAGTATATCGGGGTGACCTCCTCTCCATCCAGCCCGCTAGCTCCAGCATCACTGGCTGTGCAGAATTTTCCCAACCAACTGGAGTAATTCACTTCGAATGTGCTTCCCTGGCAATATTCCCCCATCTGCCCCCATCCTGGATCTGCTTCGGATCTGGGATTCAGGGCTTAACTTCTCACATTCCAGCTGTTCCCGGAAAGTGCAACCCAGAGTGGAGAGTTTGAGGTTGGTTTATTTAACTTGTCGGATTTAATCTCAGGTAATCAGCTGAAATGGGTGTGTCTCTGCGTCTGTGGTTTTGCAGCCTCACGTTGGGTCAAGACACAAAGACCCACTGGTGAAAATGATTAGAGCACCCAGGTGCGTGACACTGTTCGCCTTGTCTTCTTACCACAGGTCACGTGATCACACCAGCCAGCTCCCACAAGCTCGGGATTGACTATCTGGGCTGTCAGGGGAAGTCAAACGACCATCCCCCACAGAGCTATGCATGGTGGCATGGAAGCTCTCGGCAATTCCACAGTGAGGGTGGTGTGGCTCTGGGTTGAAAATTTTATGATGCAAAACCTACAGACCTTTAGTGTCAACCAGGAGCCTGAGCAGACATGAATAACTGAGCTATGAGAGAGACCCGTCAGCTCTGTGGAGGATATGAGGTACAGGTGAGGGTTTGGGTGGGGATGTCGAGGTGTACAGGTATGGTACGCTGACCTGAGGCCATCAAACAGCAAACATAGCTACCTGAAGATGGCACACGGTGACACGTCACTTCTGTGGTCAGCATCTCCATGGCAATTAATTTGTGTAGGAGGTACCCAACCAACACTCACCCCCTGGGCCCAGGTGATGGTACCCCCCCGCTCCCCCCCGAACCAGCGGTGTTGACCCAGATGATCCAGTCATTCAGGGGCGGGTGAGGACCGATTATAATGACAGACCCCCCCCCCCAGCTGACTCCAGACCCCCAGCATAGCCTGGGGACAGTTGGCGTCTGCAGTAGGGGGACTGCACAAGACCCAAGACCCCCTGTTTTGCTGTAATTTGTCATCCTCTATCACCCCCACCTGCCCCCCACATCCCCCCAACCCCTGTGGCCAAAGCAGCCTGCACACACACATGCTCACCCACGGAGGAGTCTGGGGCATGGTGGGGGCCGTTATCTCAATGTCCCCCCCGGCAGGGAGGTCACCCACGTGACTCCCTCCTCATCCCTGGGCTTCCACCTGCCTTACCACCCTGTCTACTTGATGTCAAGACACAACAACCTCCCCCCCCCCCAGGAGTCCCAGGTCCTCTTCCGTTACAGACATGCCTTCCGTGCCTCTGATGGAAGACGCCTGATGGTGGGGTGTGTGTGTGTGGCTCGAAAGGGACCCCCCCACATTAAACGTCTGACGGTGGGGTGTGTGTGTGATTTGCACACTTGTCACTCATGCGTGCTCTCTGATTGCTGTGAGGGTGGTGGTGGTGGTGGGGGAGCTTATTTGAAGCAAATGACAGGACAGAAGTACAAGCGGGAAGATGGGAGACGTCCTGCAGAGGTGTGTATTCAGACATGATGGTGGAACCTGGGATGTGGAGGCAGGACTCCCTGTGTCAGCACATCCCTGTCTTGCAGGGGGTGAGAGTCCGGTGACTAATTCAGCCTAATTACCCAGCTTTCTATTGCGGGGGGGGGGGGGTGCCAGGCCACACTGGGGTCAGGAGAGCATCATTCATGGGGAGACCCCCCTTATGCACAAAGCTGGCCCTCCCCCCCAGTTCCCCCCAAAGCCCCTCAGCAATAAAGGGCAGGATGACTACGGTCAGCCTGTCACTCCGGGGGGGGGCAGGAGGGGGGCGGGGGAAGCTGAAGCTCTCCAAAGTGACAGTGGTCAGGGGAGCATGACGTTTTGGGAACTGAATGGTGTGGTGGAATGTGGAAAAGGTTTAGGGGATGGGGCGGGGATCTAAAGCTAAGTAAGCCTGAAGGCTCCAGGCCATGCTCCGTGGGTGCCTTAGTTAACCAGTTTTTGGGGCTGACTGAGTAAGACCCCCCAGGTAATCGAAACAGTCCCAAGAAACGATAGTATAAGAGACAGGAGTGCTCCAAACTCTGTGAAGACAGAGGTTGGGGGGACACGCCCTCCAGGGTGTGTAAGAAAATGAAGAATGGGGGGTTAGAAGGAGAAAGAGACTGGATGATAGAGGGAGCGAGAGAGATACAGCGAGAGAGACAAAGGCCGACAGAGAGGGGGCGAGGCGGAAGCAGAACGAATAAACATCGAGATGGACAGACAGAGAGGGGGAGTTTTCATGTCACGCCCTGAACCCCAACCTTATAACCTTGAAGATGGCACATAAAACGATGGCGGGACAAATGAAATCAAGAACATTGGCGAGAACTATCTGCTACATGCTTAGAACAAGGTCGTTCTACGTCACACCACAACCCTAGATGGCGCAGAATGTTTGTGATGCGGCAGACAGAGTGCGAATAACTGTATTGTGGTGAGTGTGATTAATAATGGCCACTACTGGGTTAATACTAGAAGTAGCACAGTCAAGGAAGCAAACAACTTTAACAAGACTCACCGTTACACGCTAATGAAACGTGCACGGTGAACATTAAAAAGTTATGACAGAAGTACATGAATACACGTTATTTTATAATATTTAAAGTGTGGTGCAGTGCAAAGTATGCTGGTAAATGCGTAATTAGTTCTGCTGACCAATACAATGGCGTCACATTTGTCAGCCAATCGTGGACAAGTGGGTGGGATCAGTGCAAACAAAAAAAGTTCACCTCCGGGACTCTGCACGGGCAGTGCGCCAAAATGGTGATCACCATGGTGATTATGTGTCATATGATGTCGTATTGCCCAAACAACATTGACTCTGTCTGAAGTATACTTAAGCCATAAGCCTAACCCCGTAACCCCCCCCGTAACCCCTCAACTCGACCCCCAACCTTGCACACAATGGTCTAGTAACAGTTAGGGTTTCCTGAAGCCCTCATAGTAGAGAACATGC